TACAGCGAATGAGGGTGCGGCAAGTCCATAGACTTGCCTGATTAATTAGGGTGCGTTTTCCATCGTAAATAAAATGGTTTATTAATGGCTTCCTAAAGAAACCGACGACATGGGATCAGGTTTGTTCCACTCTACGAATTTTTTGCGATTTTTCCACCAAGTTTGATGAAAAACGATTGTGCCGTTTCGGCGGCAGAGACAGACAAACAGACAGATAGTCATACATTCGGATAGCGCTATAGTATATTAGATATACTGTAAATATCCTGAAGGTTTGTTTATTAGCACCAGTTTATTTCCCAAATTAGCCGTCGACTCTAAGTGGCGTGACGAACCATTGTTCTCGTCATTATAATTAAATACAGTACATCCTCTTCGCCACCTGTCACCTTACTCGCCTTGGTTTTTACCGGACCTATTCAGTCGAAATTTGATAACATCGGCATTAAGCAGAATCTTGGTGTTTGCGTTGTTTTAGCTTACCACCTATCTAGTGTCCCCCTCTGGCCTGCCGTTCATGTTTAGGACACTAGAATTAGTATTAGTTCAGCATCACCAGATAGCTGCTGGTAGAACTCTAATTGAATTTATTACTGAACAGATTGCTAGCTTGGCAGATACTTAGAAATTTTAGCTAACAGACTTGACTTTTTCTTGTCTATACATAATACAGTATAGATACGTTATTAAAGTACATGACTTAACACAGCACAGTGCACATAATTTAATATAACGCAGTATATACAGTATAACTCAAGGTAGTCTAGTCACATAATGTAAGGTAGTACATTATGTATGATTTGACATTGTACTATTGAGAGAGAGAGAGAGAGAGAGAGAGAGAGAGAGAGAGGCAACGTGTATTTTTCAGCCAAATGCTTTCAGTAAAGAGAAAGTGTAAACACCATTGCGATTATTCAACTCATTGATGTTGGACTTAGTGACTCTAGGGTTTAGGATGATCCAGGATGTTATAGGGCGGGGTTTCCCAAACTATTTTCACCGTAATCCCAACTACTGCTGTCATCTGTCCAGTATACTGTATATCTATGTAAATAAAAGTTATAACGCTGTAGTGTCTAATTTTATAGCAATTAATCGATACAAGACAAGTCAATACATGTCGACTGTACTATATATGATCATTTGATTATTTTTTGTATTAGGGAATGTGTGTGTATGGCTGAAGAACACAGTAAAATTTTCCAAGTTGAAGTTTGAAATATTGTTACGGTGATTCTACATACCAGTGAAGACAGAGCTTCCTCACGGGAGAGATGTATCTTATTAAACCGAAGGAACAAAAGAGCCTTAATTGACAACGTAACGCCCCCTTGTCATGAAGTACTTGAACTCTTTTTTTTAGAAACTCTGAGAGACTATTTCCTGTTACATCATGTCAAACATCCGACTCGCTTTAGAGGGGAACAAACACACAAACTGCAAGACCTCATCATAACTAATGATGAGGGTATGGTGGCCAAGTGGCGACAATCAATATGTGATTTTTGTCATTCAGATTTAACTTTTACTTGGTTCATGATAAATGCAGCACCAGGGTTCAAATATTACAATGGCGATTAGAACAGAATGAGGGAGTAGATAAGGGGTGAGAACTGAAATGACTCACTGATAAACAAGACCCCAAATGCTATCCTGATATGTTAACCAGGAAAGTAAACTATTTGACTTATAAATATATACCCAAGACCAAACCCAGTGCCTCCAGGCATGCAAGGAGACCGTCGCCAATGAACCATACAGCAGTTGACAAAATGAATATAAATCTCGGAAATTCAAGAGGTGGGTCGCGACATATGATGAGCAGGACAGGAGGATGTATACCAGGTCCAGGAATCAAGCAAAGTCAGAGTGCAGAAAGGCCGAGAAAGAGTTCCAAAGACGGATAGCAAGCAAGGTCAAGTCAAACCCAATGGCTTTCTATCTTTACGAAAGATATCAAAGGCACGTGTGGGAATATCAGCTCTGAGGCTTGAAGATATTAGTTACGCAGACTCAGATTAGGGAAAAACGGAGGCGTTAAACAAACTCTTTTCCTCAGTGTTCACAAAAGAACCGAATAATCTCCCTGCGTGTGAGGAAAGATGGTTTGACACAGCGCTCAAGTACATTATGTTCTCAGAAGAGAGTATAATAAACAAATTGTCAAAGATAAAGGTTATGACACTGAAGGCTGCTCCGTGTGGTTGGCTATTCTTTCCTTTTGCGGCGTCACATCCTGATTGTGTGTTTACTTACCTCCTAATGCCCGGTGTTTCCTTGAAGGGTGAGTGGTGGAATAAGTCTTAGTCGTATTTATTCCCCGTCGTACAGGACTCCATCCTACCCTTTAAACAATCGACCCCAACCTATCCTTGAAATACTCGACCAAATCATTGACTTTAAATATTTGACCCCATCCTTGCCTTTAAATAATCGACCCCATCCTATCTTTTAAATAAAATCTAGCCTTTAAGTTTAGGGACCAAGTTTAATGGGCCCTGGTTTTAATAACCTTAGTTGTCATGGATGTTAATGAGTAGATTAGGGTTTGGTTGGGGGCCGTTTAGGACTGTAGCCCTTATGAGCTCCAGCCACACCTGTTTGATTTTCGATAACCCAGCCTAAAGGTGTTCTTTGTTTACTCCTCTGGGATGACTTTCATGTGAGACAAAATAAAGAGATTGATTCCACCTCTGCCTCTGTTAGTTCGTCTCTGCTGTGTCCTATTATTTCCCTACTGTCTTTTTTTCGTTTGTTATTATCTTCTTCCCTCGGGCACTCAATTGATATTCTTTACCCCTGCTTCTCCAACCCACGTGAGTTTTTATATATCGTTTCCGAGTTCTCTTGGAATTCACAGATAACATAACGCTAGTAATTTCTCGATTTAATATCACACTATTAACGTCTCCTGTACACGTATAAACAGAGACTCTAAGCAGTAATGTCATGCAGCCTCTGGACCCTAAAATAATAATCTCCCAAACTGATTACTTAAACCTTATCGGGTATTGAACCTCATATTTACAGCTAAAATGCAATGTAAGTTACAATAACAAGTAAGACAAGTTATTATGTAGAATGCACTGATAATTACATAAGAGTGTATGAAAGAATATATAAAGATTTACAGTTAGTAATTTATGGTAGCCTTTGCGTATATTACAAGTGAAAACTAACATTTTTAACCATTTACAGGACATGCAGGGGTTTCTCTCGGCTGAATAAAATCGTCTGGCATTAGCCAGAATGAAATACAAAAGTGCGCAGCTGCACCCATAAAGGTTTATGGAGATTGATAGGCTTTAAGCTATATGGTTCAACATATGGAACAGTCTGCCAACTACTGTAGTGGAAACGAAATTAGTACTAAGCCTTAAAATCTGCCTGGACAATATATTCCAGAATGACTGGGATCCTACACGTACAATCATTACTTCAGGCTCCTTCCCCCGCCATGGTCACCTCTAGGTATGATCACGATAACCGTTCCGTATATTAGGTATGTACACTAGCGTAGCTAGGGGGGGGCGGTCCGCCCCGGGCGGCACTTTTGGGGGGCGGCACTTTTGGGTCTGCTCATCACCCATATCTGCAGCTACTGGAGATGTTAATCCATCCCTTTGTATCGGCGTCGACCCAAAAAGAAGAAACATATGTTTGGTGAAGGATCACGAGATGCTGAATTGCCATACGACATTGAATTGAGGAGAGAAATGTTTTCTTCGCTGGACAGAGTGATCCAAGAAATAACTTTGAGATTTCAACAGCTTCATGAACTTGCTGAGAAATATGCCTTCCTTACCCCATTGAATCTTTTGGATGATAAATATGAGTGTCAAATAGATCACGATCACGACGACATTGATAAAGAGGAGTTCCTCGTTGAGAGAAAAAGACTTCAGCATTTTGTTGCTGTTGCTGCTATAACTATTAAAGACAGAATACAGACGTGGAAAGAAGGCCCCCTTGAACTTTTGCAGTTTATTCAAAAGTATAACCTTAGGAACTCGGTTCCAAATATAGTAATAATGCTGAGGATTCTCGTCACAATTGCTGTTAGTGTTGCTACCTGTGAGAGGAGTTTTTCGAAACTAAAACTGATCAAGAATTACTTAAGATCTACTATGAGCACCTTGCGGTTGAGAAATCTTGCCATACTGTCTATAGAGCGACAATTGACAGATGAAATAGTTTTTGACAATGTCATTGAAGAATTTGCCAACAAAAAACAAGAAAAGTTACTTTGTAGAAAGTTGTAGTTTTCATTTCAGAAATAAAGATGGTCCTAATTTTTTACACTTTTTTACTTTTTTCCCTATCCTATATGTCGTTTTTGCTTTTTGTTTAACTGTTACTTATAAAGTTTAAGTATGTTTGGGGTGTATTTAAAGCATACTATATTTGAGTATGTGAAAGTAAAGTTGTAGTTTTAATTTCAGAAATAAAGATGGTCCTAATTTTTTACACTTTTTTTACTTTTTTCCCTATCCTATATGTCGTTTTTGCTTTTTGTTTAACTGTTACTTATAAAGTTTAAGTATGTTTGGTGTGTATTTAAAGCATACTACATTTGAGTATGTGAAGGTACAGTAATATTATAATGGTACACAAACTATTTAATATATATATATATATATATATATATATATATATATATATATATATAAGAGTGAGTCACTGTGCAATATGTATTTTTTGTGGGGGCACGGGGGGGTGTCAAACTCAAGGGCCGCCCCGGGCGGCACACACTCTAGCTACGCCACTGGGTATGTAAATAAGTAAATGTTAATAATTACACAACGATAATCCTACGACAATTGAAAATTATTAATGAAAATTCATATATTTTTAAATCCCTCCAAAAGGCACAGATAAACTTAATTCAAGTCGATAAAACAGGTTAGGTACTCCATATTCACATTGTGGGACGCCAAGATTACAGTCTCACGTTAGCATTGCCAAGCATTTTACTTAAGCCTTATAACACTTCTTAC